TTTGGGACTATGAAAATCGGAAGATCATCAGAAGCAGAGATGTCATTTTCAATGAAAATGTGATGTACAAAGACAGGTCAACCGCAGAATCAAGTAATACCAAAGCTGAAACAAAGGAATTTGCTGAGTTCGAGGAGATTTCTGGAAATGATGTTCAGATCAGTCCAGAAGCAGTTCAAGAAGAATCAGGCACACCAGAACTGAGACGCTCCTCCAAAATTCCTAAACCAACCCAACGGTATTTGCCTTCTTTGCACTACTTGTTGCTGACTGACAATGGTGAACCAGAGTGCTATGATGAAGCAATGCAAGTGGAGGATTCAGTCAAGTGGGAGTCTTCCATGAAAGATGAGATGGACTCGCTTATGTCAAATCAGACGTGGGAATTAGCTGAATTACCACCAGGCAAGAGAGCGCTCCATAACAAGTGGATTTACATGATCAAAGAAGAGCACCATGGGAGCAAACGCTACAAAGCAAGATTGGTTGTCAAAGGCTTTCAGCAAAAAGAAGGTATTGACTACAATGAAATTTTCTCTCCAGTCGTGAAGCTGTCTACAATCAGACTGGTATTGAAAATTGTAGCTGCAGAGAATTTATATCTTGAGCAGTTAGATGTAAAGACAGCTTTCCTTCATGGTGATTTGGAGGAAGAAATCTATATGAGGCAGCCAGAAGGCTTCATAGAGGCAGACAAGAAAAACCTAGTATGCAGGTTAAAGAAGAGCTTGTATGGTTTAAAACAAGCTCCTAGACAGTGGTACAAGAAGTTCGATAACTTCATGGGTAGCAGTGGTTTTACCAGATGTCAAGCAGATCATTGTTGCTACATCAAGAGGTTCGACAACAACTTCATTATTTTATTATTGTACGTTGATGACATGCTCGTTACAGGCTCAGACATGCAAGAGATTATCAACTTGAAGAAAAAATTGTCGAAGCAGTTTGATATGAAGGATCTGGGCGCTGCAAAGCAGATTCTTGGGATGAGGATCAAGAGGGACACAAAGTCGGGGACTTTGATGTTATCACAGGCTGAGTACATCAACAAAGTACTCTCCAGGTTCAACATGCAAGATGCTAAACCAGTAAGTACACCTTTAGGTGTTCATTTCAGACTCTCCAAAGAACAGTCACCAAAGACAGAGGAAGAACGTGCACACATGATGAAGGTGTTGTATGCCTCAGCAATTGGAAGTCTGATGTATGCCATGGTTTGTACCAGACCAGATATTTCTCATGCAGTGGGAGTTGTTAGCAGGTACATGAATAATCCGGGCAAGATACACTGGGAAGCAGTCAAATGGATCTTCAGATATCTGCGGGGTACCACAAACAAAGAACTTTGTTTCAAAGGTGGAGATACGATATTGACAGGCTATGTAGATCCTGACTTAGCTGGAAATGTCGACATCAGAAAAAGCACTACAGGGTATGTCTATACTCTAGGAGGAACCGCAGTGAGTTGGGTTTCTCAACTACAGAAGATAGTTGCTCTCTCCACAACTGAAGCAGAATATGTCGCTGTTACGGAAGCCAGCAAGGAGATGGTTTGGCTCCAAAGTTTCTTGGAAGAGTTAGGCAATAAACAAGAAAACAATGTCTTGTATTGCGACAGTCAAAGTGCTATCCATCTAGCGAAGAATCCGTCTTTTCATTCCAGGACGAAGCACATACAATTGCGATATCATTTTATCCGGTCTCTTCTGGAAGATGGGATTTTGAAACTTGAAAAGATTAGTGGAGCTCAAAATCCGGCAGACATGTTGACAAAGATGGTGACCACGGACAAACTGAAGTTGTGTTCAACTTCAGTTGGCATGCTAGAGTAACAAGACTAGAAAAGCTGTTGCATTGATTGAGGTGTGAAGACAGATTAAAATCAGTCTTCAAGTGGGAAATTGTTGAAAACTGAGTCAAGAAACGTGGTAGCAGCCAACTGCTACCATTTTTGTCAAAGTTTGGCAAGGATTTTGAATTTAAGTAATGACTAATTACATTTTAGTCATTGCACTTTAGGGTATTTTCAAATATTAGTCCCTAAGTTTTAACTATAAATACCCTAGTTCATTTAGCTTCAAAATCACCCCAAAATCTTCTAGTTCTCTCTCAAGTGTATTGTGTAAACACCTGTAAATTTTCTCTTAGAAAAAGATCTGCAGCAGCCCGGAGACGTAAGCACAATTGGCTGAACTCCGTTATCAATTTCGGGTATTATTTTTTCGCTTTTATTTCGCATTCTCACTAATCTGGTTATAGGGAAATTACTCGTACTCGGTTTATTTCCTAACATTGCCAACTCCTGAGAAGCCATATGGAGGGTGGGAGGCCCCGGATGTCGAACTCCGGGGTCATTTTGTTGGTAATCATCGCTTTAGTTCGATATCATTGCTATCCAGATTCCTTAATTATATTGCCTGTTAATGTAAACTATTGTCAGATTATAGTTATCATGAATTTTAGTTACTTGTTGCTCTTTTAGATGGAATTACTTTAGAACCTTTAGAAGCCTAATGAATGGATGAAGTTGATTCTATTAAGTATTGTTGTTGTTATAATATGCTTGAAGTGAGTTTGATTCTCGAGTTTTATTGCTACTTTTCGAAGTTTATTTCATGTTGATTGTAAATTTCTAATGCTTGAACTGTCTTTTGGATGTTGAAGGGCATTACTTGAGTGCAACAGCACAGATGTGGGCTAGCACTCACAATGACACTCTCAAAGCGAAGATGTTGAAAGTTATTTCTGCCTTATCTGCCTGTTAGAAGAAAATGGGGACAGGATATCTTTCAGCATTTCCGTCTGAACTTTTTGATCATTTTGAAGCAATAAAACCCGTCTGGCCTCCATACTACACCATTCACAAGGTGAATTCTATAGTTCAATGGTTTTGAAATATACTTGTGGGGTTCTGTTTTAAGGAGATGCATAATAATAACTCCGAACTTGGGTTGGTTTCGCAGATCTTGGCAGGTCTCTTGGATCAATATACATTTGCTGATAATGCTGAATCTTTAGATATGATGAAATGGATGGCCGAATACTTTTATAACCGTGTTCAGAATGTGATTACAAAGCATAGTGTGGAGAGACATTGGCTGTCAATGAAGAAACTGGTAGCGTGAATGATGCCTCTATAGGTTGTTTACCATAACGGTGAGTAAACTGTTTCTTATAATTCCTTTAGCTACCTGAGTTCTTTATTTCATCAACGTGGTTTTAAATTGTCAATCTGCTTGGTTGATTTGACTGCTTTCCAGCATAGCCAGATTTTAATGCATTTGGAACTTCCATTGAGTACAATATTCAGGAAACATAAATTTAGTTGTGCATATGGCATGTCAATCGAACTAATCCATGCTTATGAGATGATAATCAATTACGAAGAAAATACACAACTTTGGAAAAAGTAGTACCATCATTGCATAAAATTTTCCTAATATGACCGATGTTCAATGCCATCCTACCAGGTTTTAAGGCTTGTGCACTTGATAGAAATTTCCATGTGAGGGTCTAATACATAAAGAATTTGCTATTATGCTCTGTGTTAACCCTCAAAATTTATTCACAAGAAGAAAAATTGTTGAATCCTGATTTTTTATAGGCAATGTAAATTTTGTCATCTAGCATTCAGACTTGTTGGCGTTCTTTGCACTCTCATTCCCAACGTAGCTGATGAGTTCTATAATGATGAATTCTATGTGATGAGTTTTTCATGCTACTTTGGGCAGGGAGATCCACAGCATTTGTTGTTGGCTCACCTTTTTGACAAACCTTGTTTCCTAGGATTGCTTGCAGTTCAGGTAACTTTCATGACTCCTCGTCTAAAACCTCTTGATTTTTATATCAGTCTGCTGGTTTTGTATGTATGCAACCAGACGATTTAAGCCCAAACCAAATTTATGATGTTCTGTAATTCATATCTAAACCATTGAGAACTCGGCAATGCCATGGTGCTTCAGAATGTACATGATACTGTGTACATTAATTCCTGATCTTTTGAAAAAAAAAAGACTTCTTTTTTTCTTCTAGGCTGATGACATATCAGGCTTCCATGCTAATACACATATTCCGATTGTTATTGGAGCTCAAATGCGGTATGAAGTGATGGGTGATCCACTTTACAAGGTAAATATCTTGTTATGCGTTTATTCCATTTGAGGTACTGTACCGTTTATTCTACAACCATAGCATTTTAGGTGCTCTTGGGATTTCTTTCTCCATAGTTTAGGGGTTCTTCATTAAATGACGGTAGTTATCGATGCTTCAGTAAACATTTAATTGCATTTTTTTCGTCTTTTTTGATGCCAGGCTATAGCAACTTTCTTTATGGACATTGTTAATTCTTCTCATAGCTATGCAACAGGAGGAACATCTGTCAGTGAGTTCCGGTACTAACTTTCTCATTTTACAGATTTAAGTTGCTGTTTCATATCAAATAATGTTTTTCATCGACTTAGTTTCGATGTGCTTTCCCGATGAATGGTTTAAAGAAATTGTCTGGAGTTAATTTAATTACCTTCGTTTGTTTGTGCCGGCTCTACCCTCTTGTGGTTTGTTGCATTCCTATATCAAGGTCTGACCCGAAACGATTGGCAAACACGTTACAGACAGAGAATGAAGAGTCTCGTACTACTTATAACATGCTGAATGTATGTTCATCACTCTTTAATCCTTGAAGGTCCTTCGCCGGTATCCTCTTATGACCCGCTGAATCACATGTTTTTGTGGCGTTTTAAATCTCTCGGCACTTGTTTAGATGGACCAAAGAAGTGGCATAAGCAGATTACTATGAGCGTGCCCTCACAAACGGTGTATTAGGGATCCAAAGTGGAACAGAACCCGGAGTGATGATTTACATGCTACCCCAAGGTCGCGGGGTCTCTAAGGCTGTAAGCTACCACAAGTGGGGAACACCATTTAATTTTTTCTGGTGCTGCTATGGCACAGGTTGAGGACCATTTCACACGACGAATGAAGTGCGATAAAATTTTCTCCGAACATCATCCAGTATGTGTCAAGCACTCTTGATTGGAAATCCGGAAATTTTGTGCTTAACCAGAAAGTTGATCCAGTAGTTTCTTGGGATCCTTACTTCCGCGTCACGTTGACTTCCTCTTCGAAAGAGGTATAAAGCAACTGATTTATTTTATGGTTCAATCAGCTCTTCATTGCATATATATATATATATACACACAGATATATATATATGCGTATTTACGTATCCATCCATACATATGCTTGACTCTATGCAAGTGTGCACATACTTGATTACTTATAATATGGAAAGTAAATGAATATTGATCGTTTGGAATCTTATTTATGTAGGGAGCAGCGAAATCATCTACCTTGAATTTAAGGATACCAATCTGGACTCGATTGAAAGGGGCCACGGCAACATTAAATGGTCAGAATCTAGCCATACCAGCACCAGGTATGAAACATGGGTGCTCTTGTTTACTATGAAAATTGTCGGTTCCTTCTTGTGTTCTCTTTCTATCTTATACGAACAACGGGAAGTAATATGAATTACATTGTTTCAGGTACCTTCTTACCAGTAAAATCGAGTGCTGGAGATAAATTAACCCTTCAGTTGCCGATTAGTTTGAGAACCGAACAAATTAAAGGTATTGTAGTTGTATGATAAACTCCCAAATACGCTATAATCTGTAAGTGATTCTATAATCTGCAAAACCTTAACTTCTTTAAATAATGTTTCAGATGATCAACCTGAATACGGTTCTGTTCAGGCAATACTCTATGGTTCTTACTTGCTTAGCGGTTATAGCAGTGGTGACTGGGACATAAAAACTGGTTCAACAGTTTCATTTACAGACTGGATAACTCCGGTTCCTGCTGCATATAACAATCATCTTGTTACTTTTTCCCAGAAGTCGGGTGACTCGACTTTTGTCATAAAAAACTCAGACCAAACAATCCAATTGGAGAAACTCCCCGAAGCTGGTACCGATGCTGCTTTGCATGCCACATTCAGGCTCATCTTTGATGATGCACCGGAAAAAATTTCAACCATTGGAGAAGCCATTGGTAAAACTGTCGAGCTTGAGCCATTTGACTTGCCAGGAATGGTTTTAGTGTATCAAGGAACGGAAAACAACCTTGCAGTTACCGGTTCTCCTAACGACGACGCAACTTCTAGTTTTCGTTTAGTTGCCGGATTGGATGGAAAAGTTAATAGCGTGTCCTTGGAATCTGTAAACCAAGAGGGGTGCTACGTATATGGCGGTGTAAACTATTGTTCCAGTCTTGGCATGAAGCTCAGCTGCAATTCAGCATCCTCCGAGACCGGATTCAAGCAGGCAACCAGCTTTGTGATGAACAGCGGAATACGTGAATACCATCCAATCAGCTTCGTCACAAAAGGGCAAAGGAGGAATTTCCTTATGGCACCATTGCAGAGCTTCAGAGATGAATCTTACACCATTTACTTCAACACTCAACCATAATATAGTCTGATACGTATCGAGCCGGAACAACACGTCATACTACAAGCATACAATAAAATTCATCTTTCCGGTCTCGGTGGAGTCCATTGTAACTCTGATGCCGTGCAATTGTGTTTTTCATTCATTTACATTCAGTTGATTGTGTTAGAAATGAATTAAACAGCAAAGAATGAAGATATTCTTTATTCCAAGTATGTGGTCTCAAAGGTTGAACAGATGATGAAATCTTTGATATTTGGTTGATAAAAGGGAAGGTGGCCTTAGAGAAAGGGCAAAGCCCCACAAAAGGGTTCACGTTATGAGCTTTCACGTTATGAGCTTTAAATGTACTATTGAAGTGAAAGTGACACGATCCTGACAAGAAAGGACATTGATCCAACTTGGACAAATTGCCCAAAGTACATGTATTCTCAATTCTCACTAATTTTAATCAAATGAGTATCTAAAATATTTTAAAATAGATAATATTTTATAATTATCTTAGTTTGATAAAAAAAAAATTACGAGTTTAATTCAAATATGTAAAATTCAAATTCATATACATAATAAAAATCTAAATGAAAATGTTCAAAAGTATTTTTTTAAATATATTTCAAATAATAATTTTAACGTCTGAATCTGTATCATCCCTAAATCCTGAATTGGTGGCAAAGAAAGAATGGGGTTAAAGATTTTATACCAAAAGTGGAAATATTGGGCATTTGGTGGCATTTACATTTTGGGTGAGAATCTATTCCTTTTGAGTGTTAGATTTGATCCAATCCAAAAAAAAAAAAACGATTTTTCACTGTTGTGTAAGTCCATCCAACATTGTGGGAATCTACTTTCCTACTTCTCTATTCTTTGGAATGGCATAATGCCAAAAATAGCCCCCCAATATTTACCAAAAATATCATTTTGACCCTTACTCTTTTTTGGAAGTATTTTGGCCCCCCAACATTTCACTTTGGGGGGGGACTCCTTCTATAAATGAAAATCATTAGTAAACACATGATTAACGCTCCAAAATAGGATATTTTTAACATAAAATGAAACATTGAGTGCTAAAATGTCTTAAAAAATAATAAGGGGCAAAGTGATTATTCTGTCAAATGTTAGGGATCTTTTTGCCTAAAAATGAAATGTTGAGGGTCAAAATGCTCTAACAAATAGAATATAAGGCAAAATTACCATTTTGATAAACGTTGGGGCTAATTTTAGCATTATGCCGTTTGGAATCTCACAACTTTACATTAAGATTCATCCAAGTTATTCGTTTGATTTTATTCATAAATAAAATAAATTTCAGATTTTTCTAATTTGATATAATTTATTATTTACTAATAAAATTTATTTATTTTTTTAATTCCAAAATATATTTACCATAATCATGTCTCAAAATATATTTTTAAATTTAACTATAAATTCCATCTTACTTGACGTTAATTAATAAGTTTTAGAATTTAATTGTCATCTCTTATAAAGACAAATTTTTCCAATGGTTGGTAAATTTAGCCTCTCTATTCAACCATAGTTTACGGAAGGTTCACATGCGAAAAGATTTGGTGAATAATATCCCAAATAATTAGGAAAATATTAAAATAAAATAAAAAAGTCGGTTCACATGCATTATATATATTGCATTATATATATATATATATATATATATATATGACTTTTACTATTGAATACCCTAAGTTTTATCACGTGGCATAAAATGAAAATGTATTCAATGGTGCTTAAATTCCTCGCCACTCAATGATGTTTGTCATTTAGTGGCTTGAATTACACATAAAACAAGATCTAAAACTAAACAAAATTTAAGCTTCAATTTACATTTTTGAAGTCCTAATAGCTTCTTTAAAAAAATATATGTATTTAATTTATTGATTAAATAATCTAAATTGGATATTGTAAAGATCTATTAGGAGGACGATGCTTTCAATTCAATTGTTCCATTCATAATATTAAATTTGAGATATTAGATTCGAGCATAGTATATATCAGGGGTATGAGAGTCTTTAAATAGATATTACCTTGTATTTATCTCAGATTATCAAAAAATCAAACTCATAACTTTACTTAAGGGACATACTATTTTATCTCTCAACTTATTGTTGATAAAATTACAATAATTAACATACAAGATTATAATAATATTAATAAAGAGTAAAATGAGAGCATAACTTTGAAGGTAACTAATCGGGTTATGACCTTTAAAAGTATTAACTTTTTTAAAATTTAAAATTAAAAGTTTATATAGCAAATAAGTACATAAAGTATACTATTTTTTTCATTTAAGTGTTTAAAATATTTTGTGGTCAAAATAGATACTTAAAATATTCAATTTTTTTATCTAAGTACTTAAAGTATTCTTTAATTAATGTTACATGTCAACTTTTTTAGAATTTAAATGAAAATGTTTGAATAGTTTAGGTACCTGACATAAAATACTTTGAGTACCTATTTTGACTTAAAAAAATAACTTTTGATACTTATTTTGATCAAAAAAATACTTTAGGCACTTAAATCAAAAAGTAGATATACTTTAGGTACTTATTTGTGATTTAAGCCAAAGTTAAAATAATAATAAAATTATTATTTACCTTTAATATATATAAATTTAAATATTTAAAAATACTTTAATAAATAATATTAAATTTCGCGACTAGTATAACTTCTCCACCTTTACTTTATTTTGGACGTTGTGTATTGAGCAAAATTAATTTTGAAGGCGTACGAGGGAGGATTAACCGGCTAAGAAAGGATTTTTTTGGGACATAGCTAAACAAGGATTGTTTTTCATAATGTGATTTGGCATTCGGGGATTATATAAAAAAAATCACCAAAAACTAAAACAATATCGACTAGACATCGTTTTCTCAAATTTTATTGGACTAGCACCCTTTCTAATAGAGGAAAGGAAGGTGTGTTTCGTGAAACGCGTCATGTATACATGGAGGGAAGGCGCATTGTAAGGGACGCGTCTTCTATAGATTTTTGCTATGTTGGTGCCACAGTGGAAGTAAAGGATGCGCCTTTGAAGGCGCGTTTCGTGGCACGTGTTTTTGAATTCCAAAAGCATGTTTAAGGTTTTTGATTTATGTTTTTTATGTTAGAATAGTTTAGGGTTAGGGTTTTTTGTTAAAAAGGTTTAGGGTTATTTTTTAAATAGTTTAGGGTTATATTAAAATTAAAATATTAATTGTAAGAAATAAACCTTAAACCAAAAAAAATGAATCTTAAACATTAAATTATATATATATATATAAGAAATCAACATCTTGTAAAATAAACAAGCTCAAATCACATTAATTGAAAGTACATGAAAATAAAATCACATAAATTAAAATATTAAAAAAATATAATTACATAAGTAGTGGTCAACGGTTAAGTTATGATAATAGATTGACGTTTTTTCCTATTGTGACCTAGGTTTCTGCAATGTCAACATCTTTTGTTTTCTTTTGATATCTCTCAAATATTTATATCACAATGAATTCGAGTATATTTTGGACGACCTGACTCCCTTAAGAAGAACAAATATAGTATAATTGTAAGTCAAGTCTAAATCTCATTTGGATCTTTTTCATTGCCTATGGGGGAAACTCAAATTCATATACCTTGAATACTTGTGAAAGTTGATATACGGGGTCAACATAACTTTTATAGTCTAAATAGGAATGTGAGCAAGCTAATATTACATATGAGCATGGAT